GTACAATGCCTTTTTGATTAAACATACACAAAGACACGTGACAATGATGACGCTCAGCTCATGCCCATATCCTGATGAGAAGTAGGCTTGTGGTCAGCGGTTTCTCTGGGACATATACGTGTACGATACCACAAAACTCAGTGTGCAGAGTTGCATACATCATACAAGTACACCCGAATACGTCTGTATAGATATCAACATCTGCACATACCACACCACTCCCAGTGAGCTGCACCAAGACCGCATTACGGAACTCGTAGACCTGGTGCAGAAGGCCAAGGCGCAAGCATTGATATTCGCGAAGGACCCGATTGCCGAGCCATCTGCCGTTATTAAGGTATTGGGGATTCCGCGATACCCGCTCTGTGCGTGTATGCCTGTGAACGTCTATAGTAATACTTTCTCTGTATGTATCTGCCACTGATCTAAACAACACATTTATAGTAGTACCCACTCTGTACGTATATGCCAGTGATCTTAACAACACATCTATAGTACTACTTTCTCTGTACGTGTATGCTAGTAATCGAGACATTAGCCTGCTCGACTAAGTCTCGCACCTACTTATTTTCATCGCACTGTTATAATGGTACATTAACGTTTGTTCCCATCGCATTTAAAGTGCAATAGCCTTCTCAACTGCATGTTATGCCGCGTATGTCTCCCTATCTCGGCCGATAGATTCGATTCTATTTATAGCGACACCGATCCACTTCACAGACCAGCCACGGTTAGCGTATCATACGCTTTGGGCGGTTTAGTCACACATGCCCATCTCTCATGTTCACTGGACTATTAATATCACACAGATTGCGTTCCAGTGTCTCCAAACGACTAATTCTCTGGTTGCAGATCTCCGCAAAACGTTCGTCATGGACGAGATTGAGAACCAGAAATCAAAGGTAAACCGTTGACAGTACTGTGGACATCTCTTCGTCAGATATCAGATCGACACATACGCATTGCCTCGCCGTGTGCACGGTGGTAGTGTGGTTTCAGCTTAGTCAAAAGAGCCATGCTGATTCGATGTATATTGAAGGGGGGATAGGGGGGATCATTTTCTTGATTCTGTTAGTAGATGGGTGATAGTTTTATTTGTGTGCTAGTTTGGTCTATATACGTGTGCCTCCGCATTAGGCCGTTACTACGTGTTGATTTGGTTGTCTACGTTTTCGACTATATGTCTGCAAATAACCGAATATAACAGCCACGTTTGCACTACGACTTAGAAGAACCAAGTCACGCTTGTGCTATGACTGAGATAAGCCAAGTCGAGTTTGTACTATGACTAAGAAAAACCAAGCCAAGTTCATCCTACAATTAAGAAAAACCAAGTTTACACCGAGTCAATCGGAATACAGTCGACCTCATATACTAGTCACAAAAATCGTGCGCGCACGGTGTAGTAATGCAACCAACTCAATGACAATCATTCTCTGGGGTGGTAAACTTGGTTTTCGTTGATTCCAGATCCAAATACAAGTGTCCACCGCCAACGACGATCCACCCAGGAAAAACCCTCGTCTGACGCGTTACCATAGCAACCTGCTCTCGGGGATTGCGCTGACTGAGATTAGACCGGAGCCGGTTGCGCCTACCGGAGAGACTGTGTATATGGCTGCGTGTGCTGTTGACCGCAGTCTCAGCGTACACCCACCGCACGTTGTCCGGGAAGCCTTCACGGTATGTTAGGCATTTGGTAGGGGATGTGGGGTTTAGTTGCATACACGAGTGTATGACATTGTTTATCGGCTTTTATTTTCTTACATGTCCCTATAGGCAGTACGAGATAGTATACGCGCCAATCGGACCGACTGTGTCCACCCACCGGCCCTATGTTGTCCACAAAGCCTTCCCCGAATGAAATTTTAGGGCTCGTTTCACACACGCACCCCTCTCACGTCCATACCCTCACTCGCTTTGGTGCTGGTGCTTCAGCTATACCGCACCACTCTGCGCGTCCTCCTGCGCGTGTACAACGGGTACGAAGTGACAGAGGGCAACGGGCTGTTTCTGTGCGCCTTTGGCTCGGCAAAGAACGCCATTAAATGGGCCACGGATGCACAGGCGTCGCTTGTGAGTGCGGCATGGCCAGTGGAAATGACGGAAGCTCCCAAGAATGTGGTCTACAGTTCCGAGGACAAGACTGTTCTGTTCAGGTATGAGCTGAGATGGTATCCGTGCCGTGGCAGGTGTATACTGATATAGCCCAAACAATGTAGTCTATGCGTGTGTCCAGTTCAGGTCTATCAGTGGTCGTTGTAGGTGTATGTTGACATATTGTCCTTGCACACAATTCCGAGGCCAAACGTACACCGTACCAATAGGCGTCGTGGTCGCGCCTGCTTCTGCTTCCTCCAATGCCGGCGGCCTTGTCCCTGTCCACGTGTATCTCAACCAAGTATGAGCTTTGATCGAGCCATATTTCATCCTGCGCCTATCAACACCCACGCACTCGAGCGGTGATAACTATAGCCCGCTGTCTGACCTCATTGGCGCATGTGTGATCATGCAATTCTAGAGACCTGCACGTGGTGGTCCGTGTGTGTAGTAGGGATCCAACCGCCGCTGAACTGAACTGCGCTCTGGTGTATCTAGCATTCACGGCGGTTGACTTTCCCACTTTATACATCACATATAAAATCACCTAAAACACGAAAGCACCCCTTTGTCCTCCTTTCTTTTCTTCAGATTTGATCTAAAACCCTAGATCCCTTTTGTTTTTGCTTTTTATGTCGCATATTCCTAGGGGCGTGCGGGCAAAGGCCGGGGTGACCGCGGGCAAAGTGGATGTGGTGAGAGATACAGTCACCGACAGAATGATGTACACGGGCACCGTAGTAGACCTCGTGGAGTGGATCAGGTATCGTTCTATGCACCGAGTGCATTTACATATATATATATATTATGTGTATGTATTCCAGTAGTACCATATATATGTATATATTCAAGTAGTACCATATATATTTTTTGATTTTCATAGATATAGGTATATAAAAATATAGATATATTTCTATATACATATATATATATATATATTTATATATAAATCCATCTATGTATCTATATCTATATCTATATATATATATATATATTATATATATATATATATATATATATATATTATATATATATATATACAATTTACAAATTATAAATTATAAATTATAAATTACAACCCAGACATACTTGTGGTTTCCTGTGAATCATACCTGTGTGACCTGGAGTTTGATATATATGCTACATGTACCATACCATACCAAGCATACTTATACTAAATGTATGCAGAGAAATCAGTATTATACCCCTTACTTACTTTCTGCACCTTACACTGCACCCGCACCCGTATACATGAACCGCCAAACAGAGACTACGCACATGCGGGCGAAGTTCTGATGCCGAAAGCTGTATGGGATGAGACTAAGGATGATATCGAATGCACCAACCTGTCTACCCAGCTGCTTTCGCGACCCATCGACGAGCATGAGGAAGATGGTACACCACTCGCCGCAGAGGTGGAGAATCTAGAGCTGATGCAGGTATGTGGGATGGTATAGGGGGTGTGCGTGTGTGTGTGTACACTTTGGCAACCATGAGGCTAGCCATGGCAAAATAGCAAACGTGAATGTTTTTCAGTGGGCATTGACTTGATCCTACCGGGGGGTAGATAGAGGCGTGCGATTGAAACCAACGTATCGAATCATCCCGAGAGTACGAAACGGACGTATATGTTCAGCGTTTGTTGCCAACTAATTTAAGTTAAACCATGGCTCAAGTAATACCCCAGACCCTGAGGCGAACAAACTTACTACAGACACAATACCGAACCTCACAACATCTAGCTACTTAGTCAACTACCGCTATATTACTGTCTGATGCCGCTGTTGCTTTGCACACACTGCAGGTGCTGCCCGCTGTACTCCAGATGAGGAATGCCTATTGGGCTGGCCTCAATAAGCGACGCTCAGTTGAGTCAGGCATAAAGGTATGTTACGTTCGTACGGTAGGCATTGACGGTGAGCGTTATTGATTGCACATATATAATCAATTGTGTGATTGTCATTAATGTGTATTTGACAGCAATAACTGATTATTGGCATTTATGCGACTACATACGTATCTGTATATATATATACATGTATATTTATTTATATATATATATATATGTGTGTGTGTGTGTGTATGTGTGTATGTATATATGTATATATATATATATATATATATATATCCACATATATATATATATATGTTTATATATTCATAAACAATTATAGTATACAAGCAACCCCCTGACCAGCATCCCCTCTTCTGGCTACACAGTCAATGCAAGAGAGAGGCATAGCTTACTGTGAAGTCCCAGCAGGCGACTGTGTCATCGTCAGCACAGCCATCAAAAACTTGGATCAGCTTAGGGAATCCCATCCCTCCGCAACAATCAAAGCCCTGTACTTGTACGGAGAGGTTCTGAAGAGAGCGACCGCGGCGTTGCACGGTATGTTGGCAGGATTTCTATGTGTGTGTGTGTGTTTCTGTGCGTATTATATATATATATGTGTGTGTGTGTGTGTGTTATGTGTGTGTGTTTCTGTACGTATTATATATACATATATATATGTGTCTGTGTGTCTGCGTCTGTGTCTGTGTCTGTGTGTTTGTGGTTGTAAGTAGGTGAGTGGGTGGGTGGGTGTATGTATAAATATATGTATGTTTATATGTATGTGTGTGTATGGTGTATGTGTATATTTATGTGTATGTATGTATATATATATAACGTAGATATAGGAAAGTAATAGCAAGTATGGGTTACCGAGTACGGCAATGAAACTGCCTCATCACTGTAAGTGGGATAGACATAGCGCCACAAGTAGGAGAAATTGGCACACTACGCCAGCCATAGTTAGGATTGCACTTAATGTGAGGCAAGATATGTGGAGAGGCGTGTGTGATCTTAGTCAATCACTTCGCCAATTGAGCTCATATATGGCACTTCTAAGTTATGCTCGTCGTACTGCCAAAGGCTTTCACGAAACGAAGACCAAAATGTCGTTGAGTTGATTATGATACATTAAATTCTTACGTGAGTTTACAATACAAAAGTTGGCAATAGATGTGCTACGTGGGATAACTGTGGAAACGACAGAAAGAAGTACCAACGTGGAACGTTTTTCGCATGTTAACAACTCGATAATTTTTTTGGATTTGTTCTTCAGATCTAAACAGATTTATCTATATATATGTTAGTTTGTTTGTTTGCTTGCTTGTTTGCTTGTATGTATACGTATGAATGTATATATATATATGTGTGTGTGTTTGTCTTTGTGTTTGTATGTATGTATAGATTTTTTTGTGACAGTTATATTCCTACGCTCTACCGTAAATGCAGCCACTATACCTTCACACGCGCACACATACACCCACACCAAATTGCTATCTGTCCTATACTAATCTCCTCCTTCAGGCCGAGAGCTATCAATGGCAGATGGATACTTCAAAGTCGCTTTTCAGTCCGCTGTAGACGCAGCGGAGTTTGCGTGTCGGGTGCAGTTGAAGCTGTTGCAATGTCCTTGGCCCTTTGATATGTTGGACGCCCATATCTGCAGGTAAGCGCTCGCTATCATGCAGCTGTTGGGCAGGTGTATATAGAACAGGACCGGTCCTATGCATCCGTTTCTGTATGGTCCTATTTTTGTAGTTGTTGCAAAGTGCTTCTCGTGCGATGTCGGGTGCAGTTTGCGTAGCCCATTTATATGGTGAATGAGTGTATTTGAAGACAGAGCGTATAGTCTATGTTATTTGCACTCACTCGAGATTTGAGTCGAGTTGCAAGGCGGTCGCCTGCTATCAATATCTCGTTGTGTTGGTTGTTGATAGATATTATTTCAGCCTATTTCAGTCACCCTGTCACCCCTGGACCATCGCCTTTGCCATCACGGCTTTCTTCTCAGCTTGCTTGAGTATTTTATTTGAAAATGTCTTATCACCCAACCTGTGACTACAGCCGATACAGAGAATAAGTGGATGACTGAATTCTAATCCGGTTTGCGATCTCTTCCGCATAGGCTGCGAAGAAGTACAGATGTGTTGTTATTGCTGTATTGCTCATAAAGCACCTATCCGATTATGTACCTTCTGACCACAGGACGATACTGAGCAAAAGCGGCAAAGTGATTCACCGAGGATTGCGGGTCAAAACCGGAATCAGTTGTGGCGCCATGAGTGCGACATACAATGAACTCACCACAGTCGACGATCTCTCCGGCGCTGCCATCTCCGAAGCAGACACCGCGATGTATGTACGGTAGTACGGAATCAGATTGGTTCTAGTTGAGTTGGGATATTGTGTACTATATTCGATATGGTCGCTTCATTTATTTTGCCAAGTACATAGTCATGTATGTATGCAGGAGGTATATCGCACCTGGGTGTGTGCGATCCGTAGGCGTAGACGAACGACTTCTGACGATAGTCGTGTGTGCAACTTGTCCTATATATTGACCTAATATATTATCAGTTGTAGGCAAGTCTCCTTGACTGAGTTTATTGTCGTTGTAGGCAAGTCTCATTGACTGAGTTTATTGTCGTTGTAGGCAAGTCTCCTTGACTGAGTATATTGTCGTTATAGGCAAGTCTCCTTGACTGAGTTTATTGTCATTATAGGCAAGTCATGATCCGATAGATATATGCCGAGATATCTCCCCTATACATGGGCTTACACATAGGGCGATTATAATTCGGGAACATTCCCAATTTGTGTAGCCGTATGTGGCCCTTTATTTATTCTGATGCAATATAAAGGCTGTTTGAATCACCTTCACCATCAACTTCACACACCCAACGAGTCGCTTCTCGCAATTGCTGTCATGTATTGATAACTAGTCATGCACGTTTCCGCTTGCAGGGAAATGGCCGACGGCGGACAAATTCTGTTGTCCGAAGGCGTGCATCAGAAACTGATCGAGAACTTACCTCCGCTGAAAGACTTAGATGTAAGTCGAGCCGAGGTGCATAGAAGCCCAAACAAGAAAAGATAGGGTTTTTGGGTAGTCACGCATGCATTGTCAAATAGAATATATCCTGTCTAGCTGAGTGTATGGGCCAATGGGTAGGGTCCGGTGGGCTACCGGGCTACACCGCTTTCGTACAGTGTATATACTACGCATGCCTCGACCGGAAAATTGCGCACTTTCTCTTTTGTAGCCAAATCTTGTTCGCCACGATCCTTCGACTATTGGAAACAGTATTCGGACACAGCACTGTTTTATCCCAATGTGTTTGACCTGCTAGCGCATCTGTGTAGAGACGCTTCATGGGATCTACTGAATCGTAGCCGGTCTCCCTGCCACTACTACCGTCGCTCTACTTGTTTGCGCGGAGATAGTGAATATCTTGTAACTAGTTCTATGGTTTATCACATATCACATATCATACGCAATGTCCTAAAATTGAAACCTCGCGGCCTGTCTGATTAAACTACTATTGCTCAAAATATGGAAACGCACAATTTTACGGATATCTTGACCATAATCCTGCTGCCCGTGCTCTTCTATATTGAACCGACAAATTTGGAAACCTCCAATTTTACTGACATTTTATTGTCCCAAATCACGGCCAAATGTGTTTTCAGATTGAGCTGACAGAGTTAGGAACGTACGACACGCCGGCGGTGGGGCAGATGGAGCTGTGGGAAATCAGATCAACACAATTGCGTGAGCGGAAATTTGTGCTCAACTCAAGTCCGTCTCAGCCGCCCACGCCGATGGTAGGGTTTGTGATCTAAAAGTGTACTTTTTTTTTTCACTCTCTTGTTTTTCTGGTCCATCTATACGACTATCTTTAATGGCTTTCTGCTTCACTAGGGTTGATTTATAAGAGACGTTCCGTGGCAATTATTTTACGTCACTGTTACCATCTATCTAGAAAAGTGTTGCAATTGCCCAGTCGGCGAACCCGACGTACCACTTCGCTTAACTACGTTCGCACCGAACCGTATCCACACCCCACAGGCGGATAAAAGGCAACTGGCTGCACAAGGGTCGGTAGGCGATGTGGCCACACTGCTGGTGCTCATGAAACCCTACGCCGACACGCACGACAGCAAAGGCCTGGACCTGGATACCATCCCGGAACGACGCACACACCAACCACGTGTGCACCTCTCTGAGCAATCTGAGCCATGCGAGCTCTCTGCACTCAGTATCGACCAGCACGCGCCCCCGTCCACGCCGTGTGATTCCCACACACAGACGCCGGTGGTGCTGACCCCTCGATGTAGTACCACAGCCATACTGGGTGAGGCGGGAGATGAGGATGGGGAGGATGGGTGTACGATAGAGACTACCAGGTGTAGTCCCTCGCAAGCATCGAGTGCTGCGGGTGGTGCCAGCAAGAGTGCTGGTCTAAGGATGTCGCCCAGGAGTGTGCGATCACAGGCTATGGCCCAGTCGAATAAGGTACGTCGGGCGGGGTGGGGTTGTGTGGGTTGTTGTTAGGTGGATGGTTAAAAATGCGGTATTTTCGCTCCGCTTGTCTGTTCCCCGGAATACATCAGTCGTCCAACAACATTTTTTTCTTTTATCTTGTTAAGTATCGCTCATTCCCTGGACGTAACAGCTGACTAGTAAACCCTTATATTGTGTATTTATGGTTTTCACTTCATCCCTATATATACCAGCCGTCACTCAGTGAGCGTGAAGTATCACCTTCAGCGTCACCACGCAGGAGCTCACACACCAGCACAAAACAGGTAAGTGGGATGGACAAACAATGACTCGTTTCGACCAAGAGTGTGGACGTTCTGTCGTGCTACATCCCAATTGGTTCCAAAGTCTAGTTGCCGTGTATTATACAAAACTGCTGTGTACATATGCTACACTGCCACGTGTCGCATCGCACATACCGCATGCGCGATCGTGTGATGGCATCACATGTGTATAGCCAATTTCTGCCGACACATGTCAGACTGTGCCGCATGTCGATTGCCTTTACACCAAGTATCAACAGGTAGAGCTCCTGCCCACCCCGATGCTAGATGTAAACATATTGCGTCCTGGATAGATCGTCTATCTGGGCGTACGCATGTAAAACTGTGGAACACACTCCATGCTTAATCTGATCCTACCGCCACTCGTGAGGATTGCTTATCCGTAAGGAACAACCTCAAATGAGTCGCATCCCACTTCAATGGCTCGTCTGTCTATCAACGAGCCAAGCTATTGCACACACTCGATACATGGATATATATGTATATATGTATATATTTATATATGTATATGTATATATGTATATGTATA